GACCACCCTCGTCACCATCAGCATCCTCGTCTGCGCGTTCTCCCAGATCAACACGTCCAACTGCTATAAATAGAAACAACAATTTGTTATTATTATTCTTATTATTACTAATAACACTGTTGTTGTTATTATTATTATTATTATTATTATTATTATTATTATTACTGTTATTATTATTATTATTATTAGAAAATTTAAATAATACCTTTGAACATTACACAAAGTTATTCATAGTTATCATTATCATTGTCATTGACACACACATACACGCGCAAGCACGCGCACACACACACAGACATACACATACACACACAGGCATACACATACACACACACAAACACACATGCAAACACACACACACACGCAGGCACACACACACACATATAGACACACACACACACACAGACACACACACAATCACACACAGACATACATACACACATGCAGGCACAGACACACACGCACACACACACCTTAGCATAGTCCCTTAGCATGTCAAAGTCACTTTGAGCATTGAACTGGCTGTACATGACCCCCTCAGCGTACCTGAACCTAAACACGTCAAACAATTTATCAATTAAAATAATTATCATTTATTATCACTAATTAGTTATCTAATTATCAATTAAAGAGCTAATTAACACTCACTAAGTCATTCATTCATTCAACCCAATCATTCATCTAACCATTCATTCATTAATTCGCTAACTCATCCATTTATTCAATTACTAACTCAATCAATCATTCAATCATTCATTCATTCAATCAATCAATCATTCATTCAATTAATCAACCAATTAATCAATTAATCAACCAATCAACCAATCAATCAATCAACCAACCAACCAACCAATCAATCACTCACTCACTCCCTCACCTGTCCCTCTCAAGTTCCCACAACATGATCTGATCTGTGACTGTGTGGGGTACAGCTGGCTTCTAAGGATAAGGACGATGATGAACATGATAATAATAATAATAATAATAATAATAAATAATAATAATAATGACTAATGACGATGTCAATTGATGGTGATGAATGATGATGGAGTGATGAATGAAGCAATCATCTTCATGTCTTCATTCATTCAACCTTTCTGCTAGCTTCAGGGTGGGCGTGTGTCTGTAGAAACCTGATTATCTGGGAGAGAGAGAGAGAGAAAGAGAGAGAGAGTGAGAGAGAGAGAGAGAGAATGTGTGCGTGTGTGTGAGAGAGGGAGAGAGTCATCAACAACTTCATCAATTCATCTTCATCAGAATTCATCATCATCATCCAATACGTCCATCAACATTCATCGTCATCACAATGACTGAGTCTTCTCGTGCTTCGTTCGTATATACACCACACACACGCACACAAACACACAGGCGCGCACACACACACACACAGGCACACACACACACACACCTGTTCAGCAGTGATGCCCATGTTGAAGGCTTCTCTACAGCTCTCTCGAGTTATGTTGCCAATAACCACATTGGGAAACCTACGTAGTGAGTTAATTATTCAATCAATTAATCAATTAATTAATCAATCAATCGATTAATCAATTAATTAATTAATCAATTAATTAATTAATCGTCGTTCTCACAATAGTCCCTATCAGTCATCACGAATGAGATCAGCATGCACCAACCAACCAGCCAACTAACCAATCAGCCAACCAACCAACCAACCTGTAATGTATCTTACAGAACAGGGCCAAAAGGTTAATCTGCAGGGCAGAGTCTGCCAAAAAAATTTTTTAAATAATTATAAATAAACAAAATTATTTATCTGAAAAAAAACTAATTATCATAATTTATACGCATGGGTTCGACTCCTTACCTGTAAAATAAGAAGAAACCCTTACCTATAAAACTAAGAAAGCATAAACAACAGCACCATCATCATCCACACCATCCACGCCAATTACGTCATCCACATCCACAAACGCGTTTCTAACCGGTGTAGGCCGACACTCGGTAGCTGGTCTCCACAATGATGTAACCCTGTTTGTGCGTGTCGAACGTGACCTCATTACCTGACCCAGATATCATGTTCACGGCCAGACGCGTCGGGTAGAACCTCTGGCATTTCCTCTAGAGAGTTTCGGTTTCATAGTGATTAAAAGTGCGAAATTTTCATCGGTTTGAATGTGTGTGCTGGAAAGAGAGTTAACTACAAAATTTCATTCCAACCAACAACTACAAACATCACTATCAATATCGTCATCGTCCTCATCATCATCATTGTCATCATCATCACCATCGTCATCGTCCTCATCATCATCATTGTCATCATCATCAGCATCATCATCGTCGTCATCATCACCATCGTTATCGTCATCATCATCGTCGTCGTCATCATCACCTTTCTCTGAAAAACGAGACCGAACTCTCTTAGATGCTGGAGGAAGATTTGCTGCCTCTCAGACAACTTATCTGTCAAGTAATCCTGGTGGTGGTGATGATGACGATGGTGGTAATGATGACGATGGTGGTGATGATGACGATGGTGGTGATGATGACGATGGTGGTGATGATGACGATGGTGATGATGACGATGGTGGTGATGATGACGATGGTGGTGATGATGACGATGGTGGTGATGATGACGATGGTGATGATGATGATG